GTACAGATGCATATACTCTCATATAATTTGCATATAATTTGTATGTTTTTTTTTTTGGGTGAACCAAAACCGTTTAATTCCTCTCTGCACTCATCTCATCCTTCTCAACCATTCTTCCTTTGTAATCCTTCTCTCCTTTTTCTATCATCTTCCTTTCTCATCTGGTCATTGCCAACCCCAGAGCCTCTCCCAGAGGTCCAGACGTCTGAATGGAGACATCAGGTTGTGCCCACAGTGGTTAGACCTAATGTGCGCAGGCCAATAGCCCCTTCTCCTGTAGATGCCCCAACCTCTCCTTTCATTCATCCTTCACCCTCTTCCATGATCCCTGACCCCCACATTCACACCCAAACATCCACTGTAGCCCCTGTTATTGCCTCCATTTCAGTCCCTTCCTCTGACTCACTCACAGGTATATGTCGGTCTGAACCTTTATCTGTGTTTCATTCTCATTCTGTGTGTGTTCATATAGTCTTTGTGTGTTTTACATTGATCAACAGATTTAAACATGGCTTGAGCTAGTGAGATCTGTTTTAGATTACACTCCAACATTTCTTGCATAACAGCACAGGGTCAGAAGGGCCACACATTCCATTCTTCCTAGTGGATTGCATACATCCATCATAACTATAAAACTGTTTTTCTGACTAACTGATACAATGTTAATACTAGCAACATTCAGTTAAACAATAATTTTATTCTAGTTTTTGAGTATTACTGGTATTCTAGTTTTGCTTTTCCCATAAACATACAGGAGTTTCAATAGTATAAAAAGAGAAATGAAACGGGGTTATTAATAACAATCAGATAACTCATATCCAATAAGTCTTAAATTACAAGATGCTAGGCCCCCTGGAGGACACATGAAAAAAAAAACTACCCAGTAACACCCTAGTGTTCAAAAGTTTGGGGTTGGTTGGTATTTATCTTCACCAGGGCTGTATTTATTTGATCAAAAAATACAGTGCAAACTATAATAGTGTGAAAGATTGCATGATTTAAAAGATATATTGCAAAAAGTATTTTATTATTGTCATGGCAACGCTGAATTTTCAGCATCATTACTCCACAAGATCCTTCTGAAATCATTCTAATATGCTGAAAAGAAAGATCAAAACAACAGAATTGATTTGAGATAGAAATGTTTCGTAAAATTATACATTTCTTTATTCAGCGTTCTTGCTGAATAAAAGTATTGTCTTTATAAAAATCTTTCAAACCCCAAATATTTGAACATATCATAACAGATGCATGGTTCACATAATAACTTGATAAATTCGGAACATGTAATTTGTATGATTTGAATATATATATATATATATATATATATATATATATATATATATATATATATTGATCTTGCAAGCATATGTGTACCTTAACAAAAATGTACAAGGCTTGAGCTTTCTCTCAATTCCATATTGTGTGCTGTGTTATCTTTAGATAATGCATCAGTAGAATACTTGTTGAATGATGCCTCATCTTTTGTGCTTAATATTTTGTAAAATATATAACAAATTATACTGTATATTATATTATATTATATTATATTATATTATATTATATTATATTATATTATATTATATTATATTATATTATATTATATTATATTATATTATATTATATTATATTTCAGAGACGCACAGACAGTTAAGTGTACTACCAGAAGAGGAATATCCCAATACTGTGTGTACTGGTGAGTATTCACTACAGCTGCTTTTATTGCTATTGTTCATTGTTTCTAAATTTCTAAATAAATAAAATAAATCTCTCTTGACATATTGGTAATTCTTTTGTGATCTCTGTGAATATCTCTGCAGCTGATGAGGATGCAAGCGCAAAACCTTCAGATGTTCCTCAGAACCATGAACCTCACCCTCGCAGAGCCGGAGTCATCAGTATAGCCAGCCAAAGACCAAACAACTCCATGGACAAGCAACGGCCTGTTTTTGGACTTGAGGTTGTCCGGCCTGCAAGAGGGTGAGTAATATGCAGAAAATTGGTTGATGTCAAAAGCAAGTGCATTGATGGAGTGAAGTTGTTTGTTGACATCAGCAATGCACTGACAATTTGGTATTAATATCTGGAATACTGTAGTGTTGCATTTACTACTTTGGATGACTTTATTGTGAACACAAACACTTTTTTTTTTTTTGGATGCAAATATGCAAATATTTTATATTTTCTTACTTTATTGTATTTAATTTTATTCTTTATTTTACTTTTATATTTTTATTTTATTTGTATTATTATTTTCTTATTAATTTTGTATTTTATTGTATTTATTTCATTCTTTATTTTTTCTATTATTCTTTATTTTTTCATTTCATTTAATTTAATTTTTTTTACTTTAATTTTTTATTTTACTTTATTTATTTATTTTATATATTTTTTTAAATGATCCCGAATGGGGTTTCCTGAATTCTATGCATTTTTATGACCACTTACATTTGTGAGGATTTTAACCCTGCATTAAAACCAAAATATAATAAATTTAGTGAAAAATCACACTTCCCACAAGGTGACTAAAGCAACAAGCCAGTTTTGAATTTCATAGAAATGGTTATTGATATGTTGAGGCTATTGGGTTACTTTGGTCTAAATGCAGTGTCAAAGTCCATTAATTTGCTTTTTGTATTAGTTTGCATGTTTAAACACAAGTTCCACCGTGATGAATGGGGGAAAAAATAACGAATGCGCATTTGTATCTTCATACCAAGTGGGGCATGAAACAATTGTTGTTTAAAATTGGTTTAAAATGACTTTGCATTTCAGCATGGTGTTTCATTAACACTATTGATTGAGTGAAAGGTAATTGACATTGGTTTAAGGTGATGCCATGCAGTATAATTTAAAGTTTTCCTTGGTATCATCTCAGCACTGCTCATCAGTTCTGATGTGTTTTCTTCTTAGACCAGAGAGTATGACCTCTCTACTGCCCACATATGAACATATGTCACCCAATGTCATTGATGTCCCACATTTTGAGCTGCCAAAACCAGAGCCGTCTGATACCGATAGAGTATTCACTACTGCAGCCCTCGAAACTGTCCCAGAACCTGCTCCGGCCCCTACATTTGCCGCCCCATTAACTAAGGTCCAGATCAATCAGTCAGAGATTTCACAGAGCTCTGCTGAGCTGGCCGTTTTACTCCCAGCTGCACATGAGCAGAGAGAAGACAAGATGATTCCTTGTAAAGACAAAACAGAGCCGTCTCAAAGTAGCTTTCAATCAGCGGAAATACAAGAGCAAGAAGAATCTGTGCCACAGCTGATCTCAAATCCAGAACTGTCTCAGTCAGATCAAATTGATGAAGGGTAAGTATGTTCTGCACTGAGCATACTGTGTTAGATTTTATGCTTATTATGCTATATTAATATAAAATGCATATACTGTATGTGTTGCGGTCCATTCGCTTATTATTATTCATAAATCCATTTTACATCCTCCCTCTGATCTCTGTTCTAATGTCCCTGTCCCTCAGCGCCAAAAGCATGGCCGCTTTGCTGCCCTCTTGCCCAAAAGTATCACATTCTCCTTGGTCACCATCCATATTGGTTGATAAAACAGTTGAAAATCAAAAAGGAGACTTGTTTGTTGATGGACTACCTAGAATGAACCAGGAATTAAGTGTTCTCCCCGTCTGCAAGAAAGCACATGAAGTCGACAGTTCTCCATCTGTTCCCAGCATGGTGTATCTTCTTCCAGCCTGTCCGAAGACTGCTTTTGTACCTGGGATGCCATCTATTATCATTCAAGACACTAAGTGGCCTTGGGAAGGGTCTGTGAGGATACTGAACGAGTACATTCAAAAAGAGAAACCAGCAAAATGTATTCAAGATATGGATTGCTCATTGTATGATGGAATCCATGTGGAAAATATGATATCACTACATTTAACTTGCCCAAGAACTGCCAGGATCCCTGGATTCCCATCTTTGCCTTACAATATGATCAGTCTTCTACCATTATGTCCAGATGTCTCAGTTGTTCCAGGTTTTCCTTCAAGATATCCAATCACTTGCACAGATAAAGTCTGGCCTAAAGAGAATTTAGTATTTTGTTTTAAGAAAAGTAAGAAACAGATTTTCCCAGCATCTTCAATGAAGGTGGATTCTGAAACGGTAAGAAAAATGGTTGCATTGAGGTCATCTTGTGCGGAAGCACCAAGGATTTCAGGATTTCCATCTGCTCCAATACTAGTTCCACCAAGTATGGTCAGGATTTCACCATGTTGTCCTAAAGTTTCCTGCATTGCTGGATTTCCATCTGCAAATGAACTTGGCAGTCAACAATGGCCGTCCAACAATGAAACATCTCTGATAATAGCACAAAAGAACCAGTCCAGTTTGCCTCAAGTTGAAAACATATTGAACAAGGATCAGTTAACCGGGATAGTGAGCTTAGTACCATCTTGCCCAAGAAAAGCGAGGACTCCTGGTTTTCCATCAGCACCAAAACGAAAACAAGACACTACATTCTGTATGACAAAACTCCTACCTTCATGTCCAATCGCCTCTTGTGTCTTTGGAATATCAACTATACAAATTCCTCCAAGCACAACAGATTCACTTAAGCAGTGGCCAAAGGACATTAAACCATTTTGGATGAAGACACTAACATCTCAGCCATGTCATTTAATCTGTCCATATCCAACTGAAAACAAATCTATTTTTAACAATATGCTGTCATTGATACCATCTTGCCCTAGAAAAGCAAGAACACCTGGATTTCCTTCTGCACCGTGGCTTGTGCTTAAAACACAAATAACGTCTGGTACTCTGTCAACATGCCCTCAGACTGCTAAAACTCCAGGCTTCCCCTCTTTAGACCCAAGCCAAATTGATAAGGCTATAGTAAATAATTGGCCTTTTGAGGAGAAAGCCTTCTTTGTGAGAAGGTGTTCGCCAATGTTCACATCTGACAGGTTGAACATTTACTATCAGAACAAAGAGAGCTGTAAAGAAATGTATGCTATTTGCCAAGTTGTCCAGTGAAAGCAAGTGTTCCTGGCTTTCCATCTGCACCAAAGCCCAAATCAATGCTTTATATTGTCCCTTCATGCACAACATTTTCAAATGTGCCTGGGATGCTATCAAATGTAATATCTGAAGTGGAATTTCAGTGGCCTGAAAATGAAAGGCCATTATGGGTTAAACAATTAAGCAGGAAATGTCAGTCCATGCTAGCCATTCCACCTCAGTACAGAGAAATGAATGATAAAGCTATCAATAGGGATATGGTAGCTTTGCGCCCAACTTGTGCAACCAGTACTAAATTACCCGGCTTCCCATCTGCCCCAAGACTAAAAACTAAGGCGGCATCAGATATGGTTTCCCTCATGCCATCTTGTTCACATTTTACAAAAGTATTAGGTATGCCATCTGTTGATTTAGGAAATGAAGCAATGGATTCAACTGCATGGCCTGTGGATGCAAAGCAACTGTACAGGAGGACCTCAAAGAATGAGTCTGATGTGGTATGTTCTTCCTTAATAAACTTGAATCAAACAAAAGACAATCACCTGAATTCAGACGTAGAAGACATGGCTATGATGCTGACATCCTGTGCAAAGCAGTCCAGTGTCCCTGGCTTTCCATCCACATGTTTTGAATCTCCACATATTCTTTATCAGACAAATAATAGCCAAGCCTCAATTGAAGATGTTTGCCATAAACAAGAAACTTCGACTGTACTTCGTCCAGCAGAAATTGAAATGGACCTGTCCAGTGCAAAAGAGTCTGGCAGTAGTTTTGCATTAGAGAAGACCAAGGAGAATGTGAACTTGTGGGCAAGGTGTGAGGAAGGACAAAAGGGAATTCTGGAGAGGGGGTAAGTTCAGAAGTTGAAGTTCATTTTGAATTGCTTATCAGTGGATAGTGCATGAAATACTTTGACACTTCTTTCTAGGAAAATGCATTTCAGAATGTGGCACTCCATACCAGACATGCCACTATTACTGACTGTTGAGGAGAGGTGAGTTTGGCAAGGAAACACAAGATAGAGTATTAATTTATTGCTTTGCCTTGCCCTAATTGCATCCAAATGTTTCCGTCTGCATAACATTAATCGACTGTGCTCTTAAAGGCATAGTTCACCCCAAAAGGAAAAATGCTGTTCCAAACCTGTATGAATTTCTTAATTAGTCAGTAGACCCTACAAGGTTGACCCTTTCATTTTTGGGTCAACCATGCCTTTAAATTGATATGCCGAATGTGTAGTGAAGACAATTTAGGCCTGCTGTAGTTGCCAAGCCCATCAGTTCATGAAGTGTTCAGTAGGACACGTTCATTGAAACAGTTAATTGGCTGCCTGCAAATGGAATTGACGCATGCAGTCAAGTTGTCTTGTGTTGTCATGACATCTGATTATATGCTTATTTTTCTCAGCTGCCAAAGCATAAGTGCACAGATTCCACCTTCTGAAAACTACGGAGACACTCTGACTGAAAATGTTGACGTGGTTGAAGATAAATTATGGGCTGAACAAGACAGAACAGAACAGTTTGTTGAAACTTTACAGAAAGAAGAGGAGACTACAGAAGATCACAATTGTCTGGTCCCTTCTACAGCAAAAGATCGACCCACAGGACTGCAACAAGAGTGTGTACCAAACATGGTATATCTTCTTCCATCATGTCCACTGTTCTCAAGAGTTTTGGGATGTCCATCTACAGCGCTGTCAAGCATATGCAAAACAGACCTACTCAAATGGCCAACTGATTTAAGTATAATTTGGGATGAGCCACGTAGATCAACAAAAAAATATTTTGTTTATGCCAGATTTGGACAAATCCCTCTTTGAGGCAAAAATGGTGTCCCTGACATGCACATGTCCAAATGAAGCAAGAATTTCTGGCTTTGCATCTGCTAAAAGACTCACAGAGGCCCCATGTCCATCTCGCCCAGAAACATCCATTGTTGTTGACACATCTTTACAGACCCCAGTTCCAGAAGAAAAGTGTCACGAGGAGTGGCTGAGCATTGAAACATCATTATTGGAAGAACTTCCTGAGCCAAAGCAAGTTTTAGACATTGATAGCCCATTTGAGTATTTGGAGATCCCTGTAATGATGGTGGCCACTGTTCCATCTTCAACACTTGATTTCCCATCTGCACCAAACAGTGAAGAAATAATTACTCAATCGTGTGATAGATTAGACATTCAAGAGTCTACAGTTGCTGATTCTAAACAAAGGGATGATTCCAAGCCTGCAAATGAGATATTAAACTTCATTTCTGAAAACGCTGCACAAATTCCAGATTCTACCCCTGAAACCCAAATTGAGCCAAATATGTTGGAGCTTCTCCCATCCTGTCCGGTGCTTTCTACAATTCCTGGATGTCCATCTCTAAGGGTCCTTGAAGGCAAGGAGTGCATTAGTGATCAATCAATAATCTTTTGCAATTTACTCAAAGACAGACAGACTGGTATTTTTGATCCCAGTACAGATGAAAAAGACTCACAGATTCTAGCTCTGGCACCAACATGCCCACAAGCATCATGTATTCCTGGCTTTCCATCTAGACCACATCCTAAGTCACAGATGGAGCCGAAAGTGCAAAACATTTGTCCCTCTTGCCCAAAGGTTTCAAATGTAGCTGGTTGTCCGAGCATCCATATCCCAAAGACGTCCGATTGGCCTATGAGTACAGTCATTTTGTGGTCAAGTCAATTAAAGAAACTCCCTGTTGTTTTGGACATGGACAAGAAATGCAAAGAAAATGGTCATAGAATGTATGCTCTGGCACCTACATGTCCATCAGTGGTCTGTATTCCAGGTTTTCCATCTGTGCCCGAACCAATAATGCTTTGCATGCTTCCAGCTTGCCCGGAGAAGTCAATTGTTATTGGATTTTCTTCTAAAAGAGAGCATTTAGATTGGTCTATTGACAAGAAAACATTGTGCAATGCATCTTTTAAAAAACAACCTGTTGTTCTTGTTGACAGAGTAGATTGGCTCAGTGAATTAACTAAAATAATGTTTGCATTGGCTCCAACCTGTCCATTAAAGGCAAGAATACCCGGATTTCCATATGCACCTAAGCGCAAAGCTACACTTCCTCCCAATATGGTTGATCTTCATCAGTGTGTCCCGAAGGCTTCAAGATTAATGGGATTCTCATCATATGAGAGGATAAACACAGGAGCATGGTTTGCTGATGAAACACCCCTATTGAAGAGGCCATTGAGAACCAGATCCGAACTGCTTTTCCAGTTTAATTTAGCAACTCCATATGAAGAAACAGACATTTTGCAGAGGATGTTTACATTAGTACCCACCTGCCCGAAAGAAGCATGCATGCCTGGTTTTCCCTCTCTTCCTCAGGTTAAAGTGGAGGGCTTCTATCTCAGTAAAGAACCAGACATAGTCAGCATTTTACATTCTTGCCCAATGCTTTCTTGCATCGAAGGTGTTCCTACAGTAAAACCTATGCCCATAGAAGAGTCTCAAGGAAGGATATGGTCCGCCCAGAAGCCCATATGGGTCAAACCTCTTAAAGAAAGACCAGTTTTGTTTTTAAGTTGTACAAAGGATTATGAAGAGTATTCAAAAACTATGTTCTTGCTTACTCCTACCTGCCCTAATAAGGCCAGCAATTATGGTTTTCCATGCTCGGAAAGTTTAAAAAAAGAAGAGCATGTGATGACATTTGTCTTGCCATCTTCTTCAGAAGCTTCATTCTCTGCAAATGATGAAATAGGTTTCAATTACCTGGCCACTGAAGTGTCATGTTCTCCAGTTGAATCAAGACTTCCTGATTTCCCACATTCTTCTACATATACAATTTTACCCTCAAGTCTACCACAAGAACACATTGAATTTGATGCTAAATTTACTCAATGCATAGAATCAGAAAGGAATCAATCACTGGACATAACAGGAACTGGTAAGATACCCACCATTAGAGCGAGGCTTTAACATTGAACAAAATGTATTCTCAGAAATGTTAAAATTTTTTTAAATGTATTTTTTTTAAGATAATCCTAAAGAAATAGGAAGTTTTCACAAGATGCCCTTGGTTAAAGGGTGAGTTACATAGCATGTTTTTTATTTGTGTTCTGTTGCTGCATTTGCACTAGATTTTGACATTGCTTGATTTGCTTTATGTAAATGCAGACCACATTTCTTTTAGTAGTTATTTTACTACTTTTTTTATATTATATTACCTTGACATTGTTATGGCTTCATGGGAGCTTAATGCAAGCTTGTTCATGTAAAGACAACACCCACTGTGTCATTCAAAATAGTCAAATGAAACATGCCTCAGCATGATTTGAATTAACTGGCTAATATACGAGTTTCTTCACTAACGCTATTATATCATCTCACTGTATGCTGTACCCTAAAAATGTTGGGTGTGTGCAGTGGTTAAAGTGGGATTTGGCAAACCCTAAAAGTTTTTGTAGGTGCAACAGGGATAAATGACCCACCAGGGGACAATATATGGAGTATTGTGGTATAGCAATACTTTTTGGGATAAGAGTGTTGCTGTGGCACCAAGTATCACTTATTTACTTTATATTTTAATGGTTTTATTTTGGGCCATCTACACTGACATGATGATGATACTACTGTATGTTAAAGTTGCTTAACACTGGGACTAAAATTGAGCCCTGGCACTGTCACCCCAGCCCACATTATCATCCACAGCCCCACCCACGGACATGTGCATTTAAATGTGAGGTAGTTGGGGGGTTCGGGGGACCAGCGAGATTCATTGAGATTAATGAATCTATTTATTCATTTATCTGAGGTGCCAGTATGCAGTTCCGGCCCACTTTAACCCCTTGGTGTGTGTACATGAGAGATATGCCGCATGGTGCATGTGAATTGCATCACAGACCCTGCAGACTTCACTTTTAACTCGTGAACAATTCTGTGTCAGTATTGAAAACCATCAGGAGAAGTCTCTTTTAGAGGAGCAACATGTCGGGGAGCAGTCCACTAAAACCCATGATACCACCGAGCCAGGAGAGACTGCTCTAATGTTAGGATGGGAGGTTTTGGAGGCGGATGATACTTCCACAGAAAAAGAAGAACCTTCTGGTCTTGTTCAGAGTATAGTTGATGTCTTTCACAGAGGGTAAGATCGAAAAACATGAGCATGTTGGGATGATTATTTTTTGGAGAAAAACACTTAAAATCTATGTAGGTCAATTTCAACAGATTTATATAAATGTAATGAGAAATCAATAAAATGACCCTTAACCATATACAAAGGTTTTCTTTTGTTAGAGCAATTTATTTTCATTTACAGTAATATCATATTTTGCAGTTTGTTGTTTGGAAAACATTTTTTTTTTTTTACTTTTCACATTTTAAGTGTTGCTTTCTTTTAGTTATGAGACCGTTGCAGCAATATTGCAGCCCTCTAGCTCTGGATCGGTAACGGACGCTTTAGATCCTCTTAACAGCCTTGCATCCTCTGTGGATCTCGAGGGCAGCGGGACTCGCATAGCTAGTGGACCTTATCAGTCATTGGAGCCAGCAGAGCCTGAGGTGTTCGATTCTGCTGAACCCTACATGTGGCGTTTGGTTAGTGGTTGTTCAGAAACATCACTGTCGTCAAAAGAATCTGAAAGCTGGTTTGTTGAAGATGAAGAATTTAGCCTAATGAGGAAGTGGCCCCCCTTGACGGAGGCTGACCTTCATGAGATAACTAAAGAAGAAGAGGATAACACGTGTGCTGACTCCTTGATACAAGAGGGTATAACTTATGTTCAAGAGGAAACCGGTAATGATGAGATTGTGACAGAAAGTAAAATGTTTGAGACATTGAGGGATGAGGTGTCAACAACGAAACTTCAAGAGGAGGGGTGAGTTCATCAAGAGTGTTGCATTCAAACTCAACAACGTCAGTCCTGCAAACAGCAGCATGGCTATATTATATTTTATTTTTTATTGTAGTGTTTTCTTCCACATTTGCACACATTTTGCAGTGAAATTGCTGTATTTAAAAAAGAAATAAAGAAAAATTGTTCATGTGTTTAAATCTGCTTTTTGCCCTAAAGGTGCACAGTGTCATTTTAATGCCCCTAGTGGCACAGAATGGAATTGGAGAAAAAAATGATTGCAGCCAAATAAGTTATCAGCATTCAAATTACCATTAGCAGACAGGAACTATTTTGAAAGAGCCACAGTTTTTACTTACTGTTATATCTTCACATATAACTGGGAAGAGAAAGTATTTTAAAACAAGAACACATACTCTGCACCCTTAAAGACATTTGTTTGTTTAGCTAAGATTGTGATATCTGTGCTGTTGTTACAAACTCTGCATCTGTTGTGACTTTAATGTACTCTGCATGTTGCAAAGGTATGCCATTTCTGTTGGCTGTACTTTAAGCTGTGTTAATGTTGCTTAATTAAAAAGTATGTATCTGTTGGCTGTGGTTTATAAGTGTGTCATTGGAAAGCAGTATTCGTTACTTATCTCAAAACAAAAATAAATGTAGTGATACTGTATTTTTATCCTTAAGGCCACAACATCATATTGTGCAAGAAGTCTCTCTTTTCATCCAAAGGACTGGGGACAAATTGCTGGATAAAGAAACACCTATGTCTTTGTTGTTTTTAAAAAATCCTAATAACCTTAAGACTGTTGCAGAAGAGACTGATGTTTCAACTTCAGAAGAACTTTTGCCACCAAGAAGGACCAAGAGGCAGGATATTCTTCAAGAGAACGTTCTGTTATCAACACCAGTTTCCAGTCCAGCTGAACCAAATGCTCAAAGTGACAACATCTGTGTCATAAAACAAACTGGACATACTTCACACAATGTACAGCCAGTTACAGCCCTCACCACCATCCAAAGTTCTTCAGCTACGGCAGATGAAGGTTCATCTTTAGAAACGCATGTCCCATTGTCATGGACCAAGAAATGCGAAAGTGCTTATTTTCCTGATGATACTTCAGTGAAAGAAGCAGCTGAAAATGAGTTAAAAGTATCCAAAATTGAGATTTGTACACCAGCACCCAAAGAGGAGACCACACCTCAAGAAATTACAGCATCATGTCATAGCAACGATGGAGAAAATGTTCCCCTATTGCCTCCCAAAGTCACACAAGTGTGTGCTCCTCAAAGGCGAAAGAGTAAAGCTCAAACCACTATAAATGATACCAATGAAGAGTTTGAAATAAAGAGCATGTTGTCTTCTGTCATCAGCGATATGTCTCAGTCTGAAGAGTCAAGAAAGGCCCAAGCTGGTAATGAACTGATCTTGAAAGATCAGGTACAGCTGGATTTGAATGTTCCTGGTATGTCTGAAGTGAAAATGCGAAACAAATGCATTGATCTTCCAGTTCCAATGCCACGCGTGAAGAAACGTCTCAGTGGTTCTTTTACAGATGATCTTCCCTTCCCTTCATCCACACCTCCTTCTGAAGAAGATTCAAATGACATTGCTCCTCAAACAGAAGACCATCAAGATTCAACTCTTCCAGTACCAGTACCACGTTCAAAGAAACGTCTCAGTTGTTCTTTTCCAGATGATCTCCCAGACCCTTCATCCACCCTTGTGTCTCAATCAGATTCAGACAATATTGTTCTCCAAACAGAAGACCATCAAGATTCAAGTCTGCCAGTACCAGTACCACGTTCAAAGAAACGTCTCAGTTGTTCTTTTCCAGATGATCTCCCAGACCCTTCACCCACCCTTGTGTCTCAAGCAGATCCAGACAATATTGTTCTCCAAACAGAAGACCAACAGGATTCAAGTGTGCCAGTACCAGTACCACGTTCAAAGAAACGTCTCAGTGGTTCTTTTCCAGATGATCTCCCAGCCCCTACATCCACCCTTGTGTCTCAAGCAGATTCAGACAATATTGTTTTCCAAACAGAAGACCAACAGGATTCAAGTGTGCCAGTACCAGTACCACGTTCAAAAAAACGTCTCACTGGTTCTTTCCCAGATGATCTCCCAGCCCCTACATCCAGCCTTGTGTCTCAAGCAGATTCAGACAATATTGTTCTCCAAACAGAAGACCAACAGGATTCAAGTTCACCAGTCCCAGTGCCACGTATAAAGAAACTACTCAGTGGTTCTTTCCCAGATGATCTCCCAGCCCCTTCACCCACCCTTGTGTCTCAAACAGATTCAGACAATATTGTTCTCCAAACTAAAGACCAAAAGGATTCAAGTCTGCCAGTACCACGTTCAAAGATACATCTCACTGGTTCTTTCCCAGATGATCTCCCAGCCCCTTCATCCACCCTTGTGTCTCAATCAGATTCAGACAACATTGCTCTTCAAACAGAAGACCTACAGGATTCAAGTCTGCCAGTACCAGTATCACGTTCAAAGAAACGCCTCAGTGGTTCTTTTCCAGATGATCTCCCAGCCCCTTCACCCACCCTTGTGTCTCAAGCAGATCCAGACAATATTGTTCTCCAAACAGAAGACCAACAGGATTCAAGTTCACCAGTCCCAGTACCACGTTCAAAGAAACGTCTCACTGGTTCTTTCCCAGATGATCTCCCAGCCCCTTCACCCACCCTTGTGTCTCAAGCAGATCCAGACAATATTGTTCTCCAAACAGAAGACCAACAGGATTCAAGTCTGCCAGTCCCAGTACCACGTTCAAAGAAACGACTCAGTGGTTCTTTCCCAGATGATCTCCCAGCCCCTTCACCCACCCTTGTGTCTCAAGCAGATTCAGACAATATTGTTTTCCAAACAGAAGACCAACAGGATTCAAGTCTGCCAGTACCAGTACCACGTTCAAAGAAACGACTCAGTGGTTCTTTCCCAGATGATCTCCCAGCCCCTTCATCCAGCCTTGTGTCTCAAGCAGATCCAGACAATATTGTTCTCCAAACAGAAGACCAACAGGATTCAAGTTCACCAGTCCCAGTGCCACGTATAAAGAAACTACTCAGTGGTTCTTTCCCAGATGATCTCCCAGCCCCTTCACCCACCCTTGTGTCTCAAGCAGATTCAGACAACATTGCTCTTCAAACAGAAGACCAACAGGATTCAAGTCTGCCAGTACCAGTACCACGTATAAAGAAACGACTCAGTGGTTCTTTCCCAGATGATCTCCCAGCCCCTTCATCCACCCTTGTGTCTCAAGCAGATTCAGACAATATTGTTCTCCAAACAGAAGACCAACAGGATTCAAGTCTGCCAGTACCAGTACCACGTTCAAAGAAACGCCTCAGTGGTTCTTTCCCAGATGATCTCCCAGCCCCTTCACCCACCCTTGTGTCTCAAACAGATTCAGACAACATTGCTCTTCAAACAGAAGACCAACAGGATTCAAGTCTGCCAGTACCAGTACCACGTTCAAAGAAACGACTCAGTGGTTCTTTCCCAGATGATCTCCCAGCCCCTTCATCCAGCCTTGTGTCTCAAGCAGATTCAGACAATATTGTTCTCCAAACAGAAGACCAACAGGATTCAACTCTGCCAGTACCAGTACCACGTTCAAAGAAACGTCCAAGTTGCTCATTTCCAGATTATCTCCCTGATCCCTTGACTTGTCCACCTCCTCCTGTAGATTCTCTTAACATAGAAGTACTTCCTCTCTCAGACATTAAACAGTGTTCTGTCGAAGTGCCGACCGAGGTGAGGGCAGAATCAGGGATTAACAGCCTTGAGGCTGTTACAGCCTCAACCACCACAATTGCAAAAGAACTAGATCTAAACAAAAAGGATTTCGGTTTAGACCTCACTGGAAAGATAGCTCCTGATGTGACAGTTAACAGTGAAATACACAAGACTGGTGCTCCACTTGGTGAACATTGTGAGGAAAATGGGGAGAAGTCTCCTGTGAAAGAGCAACAAATTGAAAAAGATCCAAGTGTTGAAGAAGAAAAGGAGGCTGTACATTCTGGAGATAATGAGGTTGATTTGGGCATGGACACTTTAGATGACTCAGGCGTTGTCTTAGATGTGTCTGGGTAAGTTTTGTAGGACCGACTGTCCCATTTGTAGACATTACACATGCACATTTTTATTTTCTATAAGTGTTGTAAGTGGTCAATAGAGGTGCTCTGTCTTTTGACCAATAATGTTGCTTCCTCAATGTTGGGTTTCAAAAACAATGCCAAAGTATGGGTAATTGAGTCATTAATGGTTTGACCTTTAAGTTGAACTGTTTGTCTTTGTGAAACATTTGCAAAATGTAAATTAAATAAATGAATGTATGATAAAGATGAAGACATTGGTGCTCATTTGTTTAATTTTGATATCATGCTTTCTGAAACTAATTCTGAATTTATTATTATGCTTGAACGAGATGTATTTACATGAGTTGGAATAGCTTTTGCAATATTGGTTTATTTAGATGTAGAAACCAGCAGTTTTGTTTAATATTTCTTTTGTTTCTTTTATCTAGACAAGAAGCAGCTGAAGACTCCTCAGGTTTTCCTGTTCCAATGCCTCGCGTGAAGAAACGTTTAAGTGCCTCTTTCCCAGAAGACGTCAGCCAATCAGCCGATCAGCTTGAGGTTTCAGGAAAGGCCAATACTGAGCCCACAGTGCCTGTTCGTAATAAACGTAGAGCTGCAGCAGATGCCATGGACCTTCAGGGAAGTTTCACAGCTCACTCATCGCCGACCAGTGACGTAGAGGTTGATGGATCTACTGCTTTTTTAATATGTTGATTGTTACCATTGTGATATTAATGAGCAGGTGGTTAATATGTTCTGTGTTCAAATCCAGATTACGACCTTGGTGAATTCAAGCCAGTCTCTGTTGGAATGGTGCCAAAAGGTCACACAAGGTTACAAAGGTGTGCGAATAACAAATTTCAGCACCTCGTGGAGAAACGGACTTGCTTTCTGTGCCATTCTGCATCACTTCCATCCAGATAAAGTGTGAGTGTTTAAATGTGGAAGAAGGCATAAATGTTAAATGGGTTATGTATATTCGATCAACTCTATCTTATTCAATATCAAGTTTGTTTGCTATTTTGTCTTTAGGAATTATGAAATGCTGGATCCGTATGACATTAAACACAACAACAAGAAGGTGATCCACCCCTTTTAATAATCGATAATAACTGTTATTTTTCTCCCTGTCATCAGGAAATGGTAAAAAATCAAGATTTTTCTATTCATAGGCATTTGATGGCTTTGCTCAACTGGGCATCTCCAGGCTAATAGAGCCCACTGACATGGTGCTGCTGGCAGTTCCCGACAGGCTCATCGTGATGACGTATCTCAACCAGATCCGCACCTGTGTCATGGGCCAGGAGCTCAGTGTCATTCAGATCGAGAAAAACAGCAGCGAGTCCAGTTATGCTGTTGGTGAAAAGAGGGAGGAAGCCGATCCTGAAGCCGCTGCTCGCTACTGTGCCGAAAGGCTTCAGAGCAGCGGACTCACTCTAGAGACCAATGGAAGCTTCCCTGAAAGGGAGGGAAAGGCTGGAGCTTTGGTTCCACCTCCAAGAATGAAGCGAACGCAGGGCCTGAGCCAGGATGGAGGTTCAGGGTCTTCACAGCCTCCGGTGGCACCACCCAGAACTCACGCCTCAAAAGCGTTTTCTCACATCAAGGATGCAGATCTTGTAAAAAAACGTAGATCGAAGCTGCGGGGAGAGTCACTGGATGAGCCCGAACCACACGAACAGCAGAGCAGTACAGAGGTAAAACATTACTAGTCAAAAGCAGCCATTACTTCAGTCTACAACATCATATGCTTCTCCACAAATCATCAAATTAGCATATTAGAACAACGCAGTGTCATCCCAAAAAGTCATATAACTGACATTTTGGGACGTCTTTTGACCATACGTCAATATTCGCCTTTTTAGGGCCCCCTTAAAGGGTTAGTTCACCCCAAAATGAAAATTAAGTCATTAATTACTCACCCCCATGCTGTACCACCCCGTAAGACCTTCGTTCGTCTTCGGAACACAAATGAAGATATTTTTGATTAAATTTGAGAGCTGTATAACTACCACATTGGCTCCTAAGGGACTGCCTCTTGACGGCCCAGAAAGTCAATGAAGAAAATGTTTAAATATCCCAAGTGACTACCGTGGCTCAACTATATGTTTATCAAGCGACGCGAATACTTTTTGTGCGAAAAAACAAACAAAAATAACGAGTTTATTCGACTATTTCTTTTCTTCCTTGTAGGCCAGAACGAGACTTCCTTAGATTTCCACGACGCATGCGCGAGAATTGCGATCTGCTTACACCAGCTTACACTACTTCAGATCGCAATTCTCGCGCATGCGTCGTGGAAATCTAAGGAAGTCTCGTTCTGGCCTACAAGGAAGAAAAGAAATAGTCGAATAAACTCGTTATTTTTGTTTGTTTTTTCGCACAAAAAGTATTCGCGTCGCTTGATAAACATATAGTTGAGCCACGGTAGTCACTTGGGATATTTAAACATTTTCTTCATTGACTTTCTGGGCCGTCAAGAGGCAGTCCTTTAGGGGCCAATGTGGTAGTTATAGAGCTCTCAAATTTAATCAAAAATATCTTCATTTGTGTTCCGAAGACGAACGAAGGTCTTACGGGGTTGGTACAGCATGGGGGTGAGTAATTAATGACTTAATTTTCATTTTTGGGTGAACTAACCCTTTAAACGTCGGTAGATGAGGTTATGGGATCCTAACTCTACCCCAGACCTAAACCTAACCCTAAACCTAACCCGTCACCTAACTGACGTTAAAGGTAAAGCGTCAGTTGTATGACGGCCCGAGATCGCCATCTAGCGACGTTTAAGGGGGCCCTAAAAAGGCGGATATTGGCGTATGGTCAAAATACGTCCCAAGACGTCAGTTATATGACTTTTTGGGATGAGAATGTGTTGATTAGAATGATTTCTGAAGGAATGTGTGATGCTAAAGACTGGATTAATGAATGATTACATTTCAAAAGATACTGAAATAGAAAACATTTATTTTAAATTGTAATAATATGAGGGATATATTTTGTTTTTGAAGCTGGGTTGTATTATGTATAGCGTACTATATAGTTTTTTGTCTTTTTGAGTAATAATTTTTCAATCATCATATAACTGGTTAATCTGTATATACAGTATTATATTTCTGAGCTGCTGTACATTATGATGTTTTTACCCAGACTCCATCAGTCCAAGCAGAAACCGAGGCAGCCAGAGGAGGTTCAGAGTCCCGTAAGATTTAACCCAGAACACACCTTTCAAAATACCTTTTTACTCTGTCAAATTGATAACCTAGGCTAAACATGTTTTCTGCAGAGTGTAAGAATTTCAAAAAAAATTCTGTTTTTGTATTGTAAACTATCGTGAAATGTTTTTGACTATGTTCTTCTGTCTTGCTTGTAATTGG